GGTTTAGGGTCCCCGGCGCAGGGCCTCCAGGTCCCATTGCTGCGTTCGATGCAGGCGGCGGGGAAGTTTGCTGGTTGGGGCAGGGGTCCGGCTGCCCAGCGCAAAACCGGCTACCCAGCGGGGTCCAGAGCGTGGCCCTTTTCTGGCGTCCTTGTCCTCTGTCGAACCCCTTCCCGCCCACCTTCTTTTCACTCGCTGCTTCTCTTTCCTCCGCCAGGCCCGGCCGAGTGGATCGAGCCCAACAGATGTGCGTGTGTCAGGGCGTGTGTGTGTGTGTTCGTGTGCGTGCTAGTTCCTTTGCCCCGGGGAATCCTCCCGGCCCACTTGCTTTGGACAAAGCTCCAGAAAGCAGGGCCAGGCCGTGCACCCTTTCCCAGCGAAACGCAGCCTGGGGTCCTGGCTCCCGAGAAGCCCCACTGCCCCGCAGGCCTCTCTTGTTTTCCCCGGGACAGCTGGTGCAGCAGTTCAACAGATGCAGCTAGGCTTGAACAGCCAGGGCCTGCCGACACACGTGCGTGCGTGTGTGTACAAGAGCAGTCCACGCCCGATCCGGGGACGCTCCTCTCTCCCCATCCCTTTGTTCCTGACCTTGAGAAACCTCCGCCCGGCCATTCTCCCAGGCGTCCGTGGGTCAGGCCTGGAAGCCGGGGCTACCGGCAGAGAGCCCCGTGGCTTTTGCTTGTTGGGAAGGGCCAGGGAGTTCCCGAGGTGGGAGGGAGGGCGAGGGTTCTCCTTCTTCGGGCGTGGTGGACCCCGGGACACGCAAGAAGAGGTCCTGCAACCGGGGTGGGCTAGTGACAGCCGCGTGCGCATTTTGCCCCCCACCTCTGTCCTTGCATCTTCACCTGGATCTCCAGACCCAGATGTTTCTTCCTCGGCTTCCTTTCGCCCTTTCCTTCTCTCCTTTCTCTCCTCTGCAGACCTTCCATCTCCTCCTCCTCCTCTTCCCCCTCCTGTGGGGCCCCCTGCTCCGGCAAATCTGGCTGCCCCCGAGCCGGACGATGAGTCTCCTCTCAGTAAGTGGCTGCTCCTCCCTGGCCGCGTGGGGGCTGGAGGAGCCCGAGCCGAGCCCCGCCGGGTTGGGGAGATCAGTGCAGGGTTGCAAGCCGCTGCAGGACCCCTCGCCCCTGGGCAGGGGCCCTGCCAGGTGGGGCAGGAAAGGCGCCCGGCCCCTGCCCGGGGGAGACCGGCCGGCCCCCTGCCGCCTCTGTGTCCCGGGCGCCG